AGGCCTTATTTGGAAAGGTAAATGAGATGGGAAAAGAAGATTGGCTTGAGGTTTGACTGCAGAGGCATATTTTATATATATAGTATGTTTTGAGTGTCTCCACAAAAACTTATGCTGAAATTTAATTGTCACTGATGGAATTGGGAGGTGGGGCCTTAAAATGTGATTGGGTCATGAGGGTAGAGACCTCATGAATGGATTAATGCCGTTAACACAGGAGTGAGTTAGTTCTAGGAAGTGCATTAGTTCTCACGAGAGCAGTTCATCATAAAAGTGAGCTCAGATTGCCCTTGCAGTCTCTTCTGCATGCACTTCTTTGCCCTCTCCCCTTCTGCCATGAAAGCCTTCACCAAATGGTCAAGCAGATTCTGGTGCCATGCCCTTGAACTTACCACCGCCATCCCCCACCCAGCCACTCTACGGGTTGTTAGACATTTTGACCACCTCCTCTTTGCTCACTCCACTGTTCAACTCACTGCATCATCAATGCATTTATTACAAACCTATCACAAGCTAGGTCTTATGCTAGGTGCTCCTCTCAACAGGTTCTTGAGCTGGCAGGGGAGAGAGAGACATTCAAACACCAGGATTAATATACCATGACAGGTATGAAGAAAGAAGCCTATAAGGGTCCCCTGACAGTGCCATGGAGGTAGGGCATGGTCGGCTCCACCTGTAGAGGTGTCTAAAGGGAGGCTTGCAAGCTGCATCTTGAAGGATGAGCAGAAAATTGTACATGAGGACAAAGGAAGGAAATTCCAGGAAGAAGGATCAGCATGTGCAAAGGCATGGAGGTTGTCCATAGAATGTAGAGAGAAAATATTAAAATCTGTAATTATACTAATTTTTGGCCTCATACTTTTATATTTTCTGTTTTATAGCCATTTAAAATGCGCATAACATATTAACATAGTGATTAATGTGTATACTTTTTAAAAATATGCACATTTTGGGGTATACACTCCCCACAGTTTTTACTAATGCATGATCAAAAATGTTGCCAAGGCTGGTTTGGGACACGCTACGTTCAAAAGGCTTGTGGATGTCCAAGAGGTAACGTCTACGCTTGGGGCTAGATATGGGTCTGGGGGTTGGGGAGACAGCCTTGAGCGTTGGGGGTGAGGAAGGGAGAGGGGCTGAGATGGCCGTGAGTACACAGAAACAGGGCAGGGTGGAGGATGGAGAAAGTGGTTTGAGGCCTGGCTGCACTTTGAATCACCTGGGGAGCTTTTAAACTATTCACTCTTGGCTCTTCTAATTTAATTGGCCTGGGGAGAAGCCCAGGCATCATCATCTTTCAAATTTTCTAAGTGATTCCAATTGCAACCGGAGTTGAGAACCACTGCTTTAGACTAGTCTTCAACATTTCCTGTTGTACATCCCCTAAATAAATTTTGGAAAACTGCATACTCTGTTCCACAATTTTAAGTTGACATCTAAATTTCATATCATAATTTTAACAGCTGCAAGAAAACATAATTTCCCTCATGTTGTGTATAGTTTCTCCAGAACCTCAGAGTTGCATATTTTGTTTGTTTAATTTATGGAAAATATCTGCCATATAAGCTAATTGGCAAAGCCAGAATTCATTGCCAACCCAGTCAGCCCAATTAGACTTACTATCCATCAAAAGAAAATCTGAAGTCATTTTCAGACTCAAATAAATGTAATACACAGCCTCAAGACAAAGCCCGCCCATAATATTTCAATTCTAAATTCTAATTCTAAGCAAAATAGACAACACACAGAGTCTTGCCACCTAGAATTTGTCCCGTAAATGGAACAAAGTGCTGTTCCCCTCAATTTCTATAGCAGATGCTTTCTGTGCTTTGAAGGGGTCTCTGTCTCAGGGGGTGTGCATTCTCCAATCACTGCTTTTTTTGAGTTTCCAGTAGTGTACACATGTCTAGTTCATGTACCATGGTCAGACTGGGATTGGTCAGATTGGCCTTGTTTGGAAAGGTAAATGAGATGGGAAAAGAAGACTGGCTTGAGGTTTGACTGCAGAGGCAAGTAGATCCACATCAGAAAAGAAGACATAGAGAAGTTGAGGATCTGGAAATCTATACCTTTAAAACTGTCTGTGACAGATCCATGCATATATGGTCACTTAATTTACAACAAAGGAGCTGATGCAATTCTATAGAGAGAAGGATGGTCTTTTCTATGCATATTCATAAGGGAAAAAAAGGGGGAAAAAAAACTCTGACCCCTTCCTCACACCATACACATTAATTCAAGATAAATCATAGACTTCAATGTGAAAAGTAAACCAATAAAGCTCCTGGAAGCAGACAGAGTAGGGTGGGGGGCAGTCTCCATGACCAAGCAAAGATCTTTTAAGCTGGACATAAAAGGCACTTACTATAAATTTTAAAAATTTGTAAGTTAGACTTCATTAAAACAAAACCCTCTTTTAATCAAAAGATTAAAAAGAGGACAAGAGACAAGAGATTTTTCCCAATGCATATATCTGACAAAGGACTCATATCCTGAATATATAAAGGTTTCCTACAAATCAATAAGAAAAAGGCAACCAAACCAACAAACACTGGGGGCAAAAGACTTGAATAAGCATTTTACAAATGAGGGTGCCTAAAGGGCTAGTAAGCACCTGAAAAAGCACTCAACACCATTAGTTGTCAGGGAAATGCAAAATAAAATCTCAGTGAGATTCTATGATACTCTCATCAGAATGGCTTAAAATGATAAAGACTGACAACGCCAAGAGTTGTTGAGGAGGTTTAAGCTCCCATACATTTTACTGGTGGGAAAATAAACTGGTAAAAGCCAACATACCCCTATCCTAATTCCCAGCAATTCCACTCCCATGCATTCATCCAAGGCATGGCAGGTGCTGTAGTTTACCCAGTGTGCAAGACATAAGGAGGTATGTTGTTGTAGAGAATTGAGAACAGCAATAAAAATGGCTAAGTCGGTTTGCTTTTTATTATCTATTACTGCATAACAAATCACGTCAAAATGCAGTGGCTTTAAACAGCAATAATCTTTTTTTAAAAAATCTGTCATAATTTTTGCAGATTTGGAAATGTCATGGCTGGGCAGCTCTTGTTTGAGATCTCTCATGTAGTTGCAATCATATGTCATCTGAGGGCTTGATTGGGGCTGGGGGTCCACTTCTAGGGTAGGTCACTCACATGGCTAGAAAGTGAATGCTGGCTATTGTCCAGGGGCTCAGTACCTTTCCCTAGGGTCCTGTTTATGGAGCTGCTTGAGTGTCCTCATGGTCTGGTAGCTGGCTTTCCCTGGAAGGAGCCATTCAGGAGAGCAAGGTGGAAACTACAATGCCTTCATCTTGGAAGTCATCTGCTGAGACTTCTACTGTAATCCAGTGATCAAGGCCAGCCCTAATTCAACGTGAGAGGGGGCCAAGGAGTGTGTGAATGCCAGAAGCAAGGATCCCAGGGATACATCTTGGAGGCTGGCTACAACAGATGGTGTCTTATTAAGCCCTGTATCCTTGGCCACTTGCACAGCCACCATGGGGTGGCTCTGCAGCACTTGCTGGATGAGTACAGAGTAGAATAGAAGGATGGGGCTTGTCCACATGGCTCTCTCCTGGGAAGCAGCACTGTGGCAGGGTGTGCTCCCAAGGAAAAGAGGACCCACAGACTACTGCTGGCCCCCCTTGCCTGGAGTGTGGTTTGTAGGGGGTGAGGGAGTTGGGGCACAGGCTGCTTTCTACCTCTAAGAACAGAGCAAAGGCCCTGAGATGGGTCTCTGATTGTCCTGCCTCTGGACCTAACAGCCAGTTAAAGACCAGTGATACACCCCATGGTGGCTCCTAGTCACTTCCTCTCTGGACTGAATTGATTTCGACATGAGGGAATACACCAGAACATGCCGTGGGCACACGCAGGTGAAGCTGCTTGCAAGGGATGAATCAGAAGTTAAAGGTGCAGGGAGAGGGCAAAAGTCACATGGGTGTGCATGTCCCAACTTATTTCTCCAACTCCCTACAGGAACTTAAAGTGGGTAGAGCATTGGACCTAGAGAGCACTGAGCACGTACTCAAAGGGCTTTGACAGATGATCATAGAGTGGAGTAGGAAGATAGGGCTTGCCCATGTGGCCTCTCCATAGAAGGCTACCATTCACGATGACAGAATACAGGAAGGAGATAAAGGCCTGTGTAGCCACGCTGACCCCAAAGTCCTTCACATCCCCCAACCTCAGTCCCTACTGGCTCTGGTGGGAGCTGCCCAGGCAGCAGTTCCGGATTCTGTTCCAACCTGGCAAGACTCTCGCCTCCAACCTCGTTCCAATTCTTCTAAATCAACTTCCCCAATGAATGCTTCCTTCTGATGATTGTGTCCAGCACTTACCTCCAAACCATCTTTCTCTCTCCTTTGTTGAATAGAACATATGTTTTTTTTTGTTTTTTGTTTTGTTTTGTTTTTGTTCGTGTTTTTTTTTTTTTTTTTTGAGATAGAGTCTCACTCTATCGCCTAGGCTGGAGTGCAGTGGTGCAATCTCAGCTCACTCCAACCTCTGCCTCCCAGGTTCAAGAGATTCTCTTGCCTCAGCCTCATGAGTGGCTGGGATTACAGGCATGTGCCACCACACCCAGCTAATTTTTGTATTTTTAGTAGAGATGGGGTTTTGCCATGTTGGCCAGGCTGGTCTTGAACTCCTGGCCTCAGATAATCTGCCCACCTCGGCCTCCCAAAGTGCTGTGATTACTGGCATGAGCCACCGCACCTGGTGACTAGAATGTATTAAAACATTTTAAAATTACACAACAATGGATGTTTATTTGCTCTCCTTTCTTTGAATGATCTTAGTGAGCCTCCTCACCCTTACTGCAATACTCCTATCCTGGTCTCCAGCTCCCATGTCTAACTTCAAGGTTGACTCATCCTAAAACTGATCTCTCCAAGGTCTATCTTCTTACGAGATACTTTTTAAAACTGTTACTAGGAGAAAATTGGAGAGGGTAGTGGATTTACCCACAGAGACAATCAGTGTTCCATATGAACTAATAATTTCTGGATTGGTCTTTCATTCAATTATGGCCCCCAAGTGGCAAATCGATCTGAATGCCCAGGGTGGTCCACGGTCAAGGCGAGAGTAATGAGAAAGATCCCCAAATACATTCCTGCTTAAAGCAGACCTCACATCTTTGCTTAAAGCCCAAGGGCTTAACAATGAAGGAGGGACAGCTTTCTAGATGAAAAGCTGTTCTTCTACAGAACAGGGAGACCAGTTTTTCTTCATTTTTTAAAACCTTGGTGATAAAGCAAAAGACACTGGATTGAATGCAGCAGGAAGGATCTGGATTCAAAATAATGAAGAATCGCCAAGCTGATGGTGAGAACTATAAAACCTGGGCATGACCTGGCGGAGCAGTTGTGCAAGCCCCTCTAGGAAGTCCTGAGCATGGAAACAGACCCTGACTCAGCAGAATTTATGGGGTGAGCATCAGCCAAGCCCTGCTGCATCGTAGGGCCAGGTGGGCTGGGCTGCCAGGGAGGCAGTGGTGTGAGATGGCCAGGGAGCTCACCCCAGCCAATGAATGACTTAAAGCCATTTTCTGGGCAGGACTGGTCCTATGGAACACCAGGGCCAGTCAGGAACCTGAAGCAGCAACCAACTTGCCCATGAAGATTGGGCTCTTGTCCACTGTCTTTCCTGACCAACTCCTTCTCATCCTTCAGGATTTGATGCAGATGTCACTTCCTCCAGGATGCCCTCCCTCAGGGCACGGAGCACACAGAGGCAGACTCTAGGACTCACCTGCTTCCCTCTCTAGTTGCAGGTCCCTTGAGGGGGACTGTGGGTGATTCATCACTGTGTCCCTTGTGACCTCCAGGTGCTTGGGAGATGTGGAGAAAATGAGGGAAGGGAAGTGGAAGCAAGGGAAGGAAAGTTGAAGCAAGGGAAGAAAAGAGAAAGGGAGGAGGAAGAGAGGGAAGATAGAGAAAGGAAAACTCTTGGGCCCAGAGATTGTACAGATGTCTAAAGAGTCTCATCCCTACTGGATGGACGGTGGCTTTATCAGCAGCAACACTGCCTCAGCCTCCCCGGCAGCTGGGACTCTGGCTGCCTACACATTTTTTGCTCCATGCAGGCCCAGCTCAGGGAGAGGTACTCAGGCCCAGGCTGGTGGTGCTGAGTACCAGGGCTTGGAGTTAAGGGGGTTTGCTGTGGGCACAGGTTGGCAAGTGAAGATGGACAGCTCTGGGGGCCACAAGAGAGCTGGGCAACAGACTTTATGAAACCTGTATTAGATCTAGTTCTTGTTCATTTCTAATTGCTTATGTTATAATTCCAGAGCTGTGTTCTTAGAGGGAAATGTACTTTTATTTAAATGTTTTTCGTAAGATGACAGTAGCATTATTGCCTTTCCTGATTATGAAGAAACCCTGTTGGCCGGGCATGGTGGCTCACGCCTGTAATCCCAGCCCTTTGGGAGGCCGAGGAGGGCAGATCACCTGAGGTCAGGAGTTCAAGACCAACCTGGTCAACATGGTGAGACCTTGTCTTTACTAAATACACAAAACTTAACTGGGCGTGGTGGCAGGTGCCTGTAATCCCAGCTACTCAGGAGGCTGAGGCCAGATAATCACTTGAACCTGGGAGGCAGAGGTTGCCGTGAGTGGAGATTGCAACACTGCACTCCAGCCTGCGCAGCAGAGAGAGACTCCATCTCAAAAAAAATAAAAATAAAGAAACCCTGTTATAACAAATACAAATAATACAAAAATGATTTGAAATCCTAGAGATAATCATTGTCAATATTTTGTTGTATATTGTTCTAGAATATTTATATACTTATATTTATGTATGCTTATATTTGCATATTAATATATTTACGTATATAAAATTTTTTTAAAACAAAAGTGGAATCACATTTTTTTTTTTTTTGAGACAGAGTCTCGCTCTGTCGCCCAGGCTGGAGTGCAGTGGCGCAATCTCGGCTCACTGCAAGCTCCGCCTCCCGGGTTTACACCATTCTCCTGCCTCAGCCTCCTGAGTAGCTGGGACTACAGGCGCCCACCACCGCGCCCGGCTAATTTTTTGTATTTTTAGCAGAAACGGGGTTTCACCGTGGTCTCGATCTCCTGACCTTGTGATCCGCCCGCCTCGGCTTCCCAAAGTGCTGGGATTACAGGCATGAGCCACCGCGCCCGGCTGGAATCACATTTTACATAGTGTTTTATAAACTGATTTTTTCCCCACTCAGTAATACCTTATGAAATTTTCTTACCAGTAAATAAAATTTCACATCATTATAGTGGCTGCAAGTATTTTACTTAATGAAGGTAACAATTTATTTAACCTCTTTGGCCATTTATGATTTCCCCCCAGGTTTTCACTCTTAGAAACCACTTTTGGAAAAAGTTAACCCCAGTAACATCATTAAAAACAAAAACGTCTATACCACAAAAGTCAGGTGAAAAAATCAGATGTGATTTTGAACAACAGTTTTAGGAATAACTTCCTTGTAAATAATCGACCGTATTGTTAATTAAGTCAAATATTGTGGGAGAAACAGAACGGGGCATACCTGAGACTGAAATAATTGATAGTGAGGTATGGAAAAGGAAAGTTTTCATTTTGAAAGGAACACTGAGCTTTCATTGTTTTGCAAAAATACACTTGTCTAAATATAGTTGTTTTGAACAGTCTGTTGCCTGTAATCATTACCTCTACCAATCCCTTGTAGTACTGTGTCCTTTCAGGGTACAAGTGTTGGTCTGTCTATAAACGCTAGAGATTTCTCCCTCTTCTGGCACTTTGCTAGCCTCCGAGGATGGAGCAGTGAATAAAACCCACCCACACCTTACCCTCCTGACAGTTAGCCTTAGAGGAGAGGCACACGGGCTTCCTGTCTGGTGAATGAGATGATATTGCTAAGCATATCAGGATACCGGAATCTCCTGCCTCTTCCTGGCATTTGCTTCGAGATAATCCGCCCCTCCCAGAACTTAGAGAATACTAAGTGCACAGGACATACCTGCCACCAGATCATTCAGGTACACAGTCTTTTCACTACCATTGCTGAGATCAGGCAAATTTCAGATCTGTTTTCATGAAGCTAGAAGAGGGCTTAAAGGTCACCTTGTCCAACTGACCTGACCTGTTGAGGCTTGAATCTTCCCTCTGTAAACCTGAAAGAATTAAAAGGATCAGAATCCAGTTTAAAGTTTATTCAAGTGAAAAGGTGAAATGATCATCCAGGAGACAAAGAATCCAGAGAAATGGGATCTGTGCTCCAAAATTAAGAGTTAAGTTCTTGCTTACACAGGTAGAAAACAAAGAAATTTAATGGGATTACAGTATTTTCTATATGAGAGTGGTATAAGAGTTCAACAAATTAATTAGTTAGTTATAGTCTGTTTGCTTTTCTCTACAGTTTGTTTTCCTTACTTTACAGCTGATTTTCATTTCCTCACTCACTTTAAAAGAGTGTATTTAACATTCCATCTTAAGGCAATGTGATAGCCATAAAGTCTTTATGTGAGAAAGGTAAGAGGGAAGTTAATCTATAATGAAGATTAACAATAAAAGGGAAGGGTCAACATTAAAAAATCAAATAAATTTCTATATATTAGCAATAAACAATTGGAATTTGAAAATAAAATTGAAGCATTATTTACAGTAGTACCAGAAAACATGAAATACTTAGGTATAAATCTAACAAAATATGTGCAAGGTCTGTCTGCTGAAAACTATAAAGCACTAATAAAAAAAAAAATCAAAGAGGCCAGGCACAGTGGCTTACACCTGTAATCCCAGCACTTTGGAAGTCCAAGGTATATGGATCACCTGAGGTCAGGAGTTCAAGACCAGCCTGGCCAACATGGTGAAACTCCGTCTTTACTAAAAATACAAAAAATTAGCCAGGACCGTGGTGACTGGTGCCTGTAATCCCAGCTTCCTGGGAGGCTGAGGCAGGAGAATTGCTTGAACCAGGGAGGCAGAGGTTGCAGTGAGCCAAGACGGCGCCACTGCACTCCAGCTTGGGCAACAGGAGCGAAACTCCATCTCAAAACAAAACAAACAAAAAACAAAGAAAACCTTAAAAAAAAAGAGGAGGCATACCATGTTCACGGATTGGAAAATTAAATATTGCTAAGATATAAATTCTTCCCACACTGATTTAGATTCAATGCAATTCCAATAAAAATTCCAGCAGAATTTTTTTTTTTTTTTTGTAAAAGTGGACAAGCTGCCAGGCGTGGTGGCTCACACCTGTAATCCCAGTACTTTGAGAGGCCGAGGTGGGTGGATCACAAGGTCAGAGATTGAGACCATCCTGGCCAACATGGTGAAACTCCGTCTCTACTAAAAATGAATACAAAAGTTAGCTGGGCATGGTGTCGTGCGCCTGTAATCCCAGCTACTCGGTAGACAGGCGGGAGAATCGCTTGAACCTGGCAGGCAGAGGTTGCAGTGAGCCGAGATCACACCATTGCACTCCAGCCTGCGTGACAGAGATTCTGTCTCAAAAAACAAACAACAACAACAACAACAACAAAAGTGGACAAACTGATTTTAAAGTTTGTATGAAAAGACAATGGGGCTGGGCACGGTGGCTCACACCTGTAATCCCAGTACTTCGGGAGGCCAAGGTGGGTGGATCACCTGAAGCCAGGAGTTCGAGCCCAGCCTGGCCAACATGGCAAAACCCCATCTCTACTAAAAGTACAAAAAATTAGCCAGGTGTGGTGGCAGACATCTGTAATCTCAGCTACTCGGAAGGCTGAAGCAAGAGAATTGCTTGAACCCAGGAGGTGGAGGCTGCAGTGAGCCAAGATTGCGCCACTGCACTCCAGCCTGGGCAGCAAGAGTGAAACTCCATCTCAAAAAAAAAAAAAAAAAAAAAAAAAAAAAAAGGCAATGGAACTAGAATAGTCAGAATAATTTCAATCAAGAACTACAAAGTTAGATAATTTATACTAATTTTATGACTTACTCCAAAGCTATAATAATCAAGACAGTTGGTACTGGTGAGAGGATAGTACACATCAAGCCGGTCCAACTTGCAGCCCATGGGCCACATGCAGCCAAGATGGTTTTGAATGTGGCCCAACATGAATTCATAAACTTTCTTAAAACATTACGAGGTTTTTTTTTTTGCAATTTTTAAAAGCTCATCAGCTATCGTTAGTGTTAGTGTATTTTATGTGTGGCCCAAGACATCTCTTCTTCTTCCCATGTGGCCCAGGGAAGTCAAAAGATTGGACTCTCCTGGTACATATCAATGGAACAAAATAGAGTCCAGAAACAGACTCGCACATATATGGTTAATTGAATTTTGACTAAGTTGCAAAGGCATTTCAATGAGGAAAGAATAAACTTTTATTTTCCTTTTTTTGAGACAGGGTCTCTCTCTCCAATGTCCAGGCTACAGTGGAGTGGCCTGATCACAGGTCACTGCAGCCTTGACCCCTGGGGCTCAGGTGATCCTCCCACCTCAGCCTCCCAAGTAGCTGGGACTACAGGTGTGCACCACCATGCCCAGCTAAATTTTTTAGTATTTTTTGTAAAGATGGGATTTCTCCATGTTGCTCAGTCTGGTCTCGAACTCCTGGGCTCAAGCAATCTGCCTGCCTCAGCCTCCCAAAGTGCTGGGATTACAGGTGTGGGCCACTGCGCCCAGCCAAGAATAAACTTTTCAACAAATGGCACTACAACAAATGGACATCCATATGAAAAACAAAACAAACCTCAATCTATACCTCACATTACTTACATTTAACTTAATGTGCACCATAGGCCTAAATGTAAAATAGAAAACAACAGGACTTCTCAAAGAAAATATTTCTTAGATATGACACCAAAAGCATAATCCATAAATTTGGGGGGATAAATTGTACTTCAATAAAATTAAGAAGTTCTGATTTTTTAAAGACTCTGCTAAGAGAATTAAGAGATAAATAACGGTCTAGAAGAAAATATTTTCAATTTACATATCTGATAAGTGACTTGTATTTAAAATATAGAAAGAACCCTCAAAACTCAATAATATAGCTCCTCAAAAAATTAAAAATAGAATTACCATATAACCCAATAATTCTACTCTTGGATCTATAGCCAAAAGAATTAAAAGAAGGGTCTTGAAGAGATATTTGTGCATCCATGTCTACAGCAGCATTATTCACAATAGCTGTGGAAGCAACCCAGATGTTCGTCTTTGAATGAGTGAATACATAAAATGTGGCTGGGTGTGGTGGCTCACACCTGTAATTCCAGCACTTTGGGAGGCTGAGGTGGAAGGATTACTTGAGTCCAGGAGTTCAAGACCAGACTGGGCAACATAGCCAGACACTATCTCATATATATATATGTATGTAATAAAAATACAAAAAACCCCACAAAATGTGGTGTCTACATATAATGGAATATTATTCATTATTAAAAAGGAAGGGAATTCTGACATATGATACAACATTAATGAACCTTGAAGACATAATACTCAGTGAAATAAGCCAGTCACAAAAGGGCAATACTGTAGGATTCCACTTACATGAGGTATCTAGAGTAATCAAATTCATAGAAAGGAAGTTGAACGGTAGTTGCCGGGGGTTGGGGAAGGGGAGAATGGGAAGTGATTGTTTAATGGGTACAGTGTGTCAGTTTCGCAGGACGAAAAATTTCTGGGCCCAGTGTGGTGGCTTACACCTGTAATCCCAACACTTTGGGAGGCTGACGTGGGGGCATCACTTGAGGTCAGAAGTTTGTAACCTGCCTGGCCAACATGGTGAAACCCTGTCTCTAATAAAAATACAAAAAAATTAGCTGGGTGTGATGGTGGGCACCTGTAATCCCAGCTACTCAGGAGGCTGAGGCAGGAGAATCATTTGAACCTGGGAGGTGGAGGATGCAGTGAAGCAAGATCACACCACTGCACTCCAACCTGGTAGACAGAGCACAACTCCGTCTCAAAACAATAAATAAAGAAACTAAAAATCAATAAATAAATAAAAGAAAAAGGTTCTGGAGCTGGATGGTGACAATGTTCACACAACAATGTGAAAGTATTTGATATCACTGAACAATACACTTAAAAATGATTAAAATGGTAAATTTTTTGTTATGTATATCTTCACACAATTTTTAAAGTAAATTTTATCTTTCTTTCTTTTTTTTTTTAAGACAGGGTCTCATTCTATCTCCCAGGCTGGAGGGCAGTGGTGCGATCACTGCAGCCTACCTCGTGGGCTCAAGCAATTCTCCCACCTCTGCCTCCTGAGTAGCTGGGACTACAGGTGTACACCACCACACCCAGCTTTTTTTTTTTTTTGGAGCGATGGGGTCTCACTTTTAGGCATGAGCCACCATACTTGGCCAAAAGTAAAATTTAAAAACTCAAAAGGAAAAACTAATCTATGGGAACATAAACAAGACACTATTAAGATTAGCATCAGAAGTGAAGGTGGAGAATTAAGTAAGGGGTGAGTGGATAAGGAACAGTAGTGGGAGGGGGACTTTCACAGCGTTGCTTTTAATATTTTTTCAGTGACTGCGTTACATACTCAAAGCACTAAACATATAATTTTTTAAAAAATTTAAGTTCTTCCTGGTATTAAGCCAAAAATCTGTCCTACAACTACCTGTGTTGAACAAATCAAATTGCTTCTCAAAGTGCCAGTCCTTTAATATTTTGAGGATATTCTGCTCCCTCTGAGCTTCCTCTTTAGCTCTCCACCCCTTGTACTAATGCGGGCACTAACTACAGCAGGTGGGGTGTCTGAATCTGTGGGCTCTCTGGGGGATGTTTGCCATTTGGGAATATCCAACATCTACCCACCCTTCTCCCACTCAGCCCCTAAAGCATTCTACCTCTCCTTTGCAGAATCTCATACTGAGCACAATCTCTGCGGGAGGACGTCGTAGCTTCCCACTAAGAAAGCAGGAGGTCCAAATGGCTCCTCCCTCTGTCTATGCTGGTCCAATCAGGAGGCAAGGATGTGACTCAACCAATCAACTCGCTCTTCCTAAGTGTTGCCTGTTAGAGCCGGGTACGTGGAGGTCATATTTATTCTAGCAGTGGCGGCTCAGGCTATTTGGACTGGACAGCCCTTATGCTCTCTCCCTTGTTGGGGCACCTGCCACCCAGTCCTCCAGAGCTCCTTGGTTCTCACTCATTTTCCAATCTTGTTCTTCCAACCTCCATCAATTCTGTAAGTCCTAAAGGTCTTCAAATAAGTTATCTTCACTTAAACTAACCAGTGCCAGTTTTTGTAGTTTATGAGCAAGAATCCTGACTGCTAAAAAGCTCCCATTTACATATGACTTTAGGAAATGTGACAAATTGTATTTCGCAGCATGGCCTCAATAATGTCTTCCATCCACATGCTGGCCAACAATGTTACTTTGCTATTCCTTCCAAGGAGAAGTGAGCTCTATGTGCTCTCCTCTCAAATCTGGTTTCCACAAATAAATATGGCAGAAGTGATGGTGAGACAGCCAGGTAGGAAGGGCTCCCCAGAAAAAGCTCCAACCAGCCTTGGCACTGGGTGGAGCCACAGAAGTTCACACCCTTTGCAGCAGGGAGGAGTCAGGCTCTCCTCTTCCTGTGCGGAACCTGGGATTCAAATGGTGGGGACGGGAAGTGCTCTAATGGAGGGACTCCGGCCTTGCGAGACGGACAAGGATCCCATCTTTAACTGAACTAAGGAAAAGTCCTGCAACAATGGTATGTAACTTTTGAGACTAGGTCATAAAAAGTCATGCAGTTTTTGCTTGGTCTCCTTCATTTGAGCCTTCAGATAATGACAGCACCATCTAGTATCTGACCATAACTACATGAGAAATCCCCAGCAAGACCTGCCCAGAGGAGCCTCCCAAATTTCTGGCCCACAAAATCATGAGCAAAAAGCCTATTGCTTCAAGCAGGTATGTTTGGGGATCATTTGTTATGCAGCAATAGAAACTACAACATTAGGCTGGGCATGATGGCTCAGGCTGTAATCCCAGCATTTTGGGAGGCCAAGGCAGGCGGATCACGAGGTCAGGAGATCGAGACCATTCTGGCTAACATGGTGAAACCCCATCTCTACTAAAAATACAAACAACAACAACAACACACACACAAAAAAAAAAACAGCTGGGCACCTGTAGTCCCAGGTACTTGGGAGGCTGAGGCAGGAGAATGGTGTGAACCCGGGAGGCGGAGCTTGCAGTGAGCCAAGATCACGCCACTGCACTCCAGCCTGGGCAACAGAGTTTGACTCCGTCTCAAAAAAAAAAAAAAAAAAAGAAACTAGAACATTAAAACTCTTGCTTTCTTATCTTGCCCCACAGAAAAGTACATATTCTCAGCAATCAGAAAGAGAACAGGATAAAAGGCAGGGAAAGCTAAGTTTATTGAGTGCTACCACAGGACAGATACTTTACAATCCCACCTAGCATAACCCTCATGATTCTGTGAGTTGGGGACAATGTTTCTTTGTCAAAAAGAGGGCGGTAGAGTTCAGAGGGGACAAGGCTGTCAGATTGCAGAGGTGGTGCTCTTTCTGCTGGAGCAAAATGTCCCAAAGTAAGACTGCAGAAGCAAGAGTCAGGCAAGAAAGTTTGATTTCACAACATGGTGTTTTTAGGATAAAGCCCTTAGGAGCCATGGGATCCTTTTAAAGGATAAAATGTCCGTTTTGCTTCCCTCCTTCCTCCCCGCAATTAGTCAAATGGCAGGTGGAATATGTAGTCTGTGAGGCAGAGCTGAGGAGTGACAACTTTCATAGAAACTTCCACTTACAACCAGGTATGCGGACTCATGCCCGTACTCCCAGCACTTCGGGAGGCCAAGGCAGGAAGATCACTTGAAGCCAGGAATTTGAGATCAGCCTGGACAATATAGCGAGATTCTCTGTCTACAAAATATATATTTTTTAATTAACTGAGCATGGTGGCACATGCCTGTAGTCCCAGCTACTTGGGAAGCTGAGGCGTGAGGATAGCTTGAGCCCAGGAGCTGGAGGCTGCAGTAAGATGTGATCACACTACTGCACTCTGCCTTGGGTGACAGAGCAAGAGCCTGTCTCTAAATAAATAATTTTTATTATATTTATTTATTATTTATTTATTATTTAATTTTTTATTTATTTAAACAAGTAAATAATTTTTTTTTTAAAGAAATGTTCACAGTGTTGCAGAGTGTTACAGAGAGGAAACTTCTAGAGTCTTCACGCTTGTAAATCACTTCCTTTAGTTCTCAACTCATTGAAGACTTGAACTGAGTCCTCCAGGTGGTCAATTTTAAGACATATGAGGCATAGAAATGCCTTGGTGAGTTCCTATTATGGGCCAGATGCTATGTACACTATCCATGATCCTGCAAGAATGACATCGCTATCTCCCATGGCAGATGGAGAAACAGTCACAGGTGATTAAGTTATTTGTACCAAATGTCACACAACTAGGAAGTACAAGCTAAAGAAGGGTCCCAGTGGAGCAGAGTATGGGGGAGTAGGCAGGCAGACAGGCAGTGCGGCCCCACTGGCACAGAGCCCCGAGACAAAGCCTCAGAAACACCAGTCCAGGATTCCTGCAACCTGTGGACCAGGGGGGGATCTAGCAGAATGTGGGGTCCCCAGAGGACATAGAATCAAAGATGTTAGAGAGAGAACAATGTCCTCATCAACATGGAGCTGATAGAGCAGAACCCCCAAGGATAACTTTTCACATTCATTTACTCCCCAGCTAGCAGGGATTGTCTGATCCAACCCCTCAATTCTGACATATAAGGCAACTGAAGCCAGAAGGAAAAAGGGCCATGCCTGAGGTCCCCCAGCTTGCCAGAAACAGGGAAAGACAAGAGTTCCTATTCCTGATTCAGGGTCTAATGCTCTTTCAGAGGCACCTTCCTGCATTCTGAGATTAAACTCAGGCTTTAACTAGGGTGACCCTTTTAATTTATGATCCAAACCAGAATGAGAAGGGGCATTATTAATAATTACAACAGGACGGCAGGTGTGAACAGGATTGCCCTGTGCAAATGGGACACACAGTCGTTCTAGCATGGCATTCTAGAATGCCACCTACTTGCCCACCAGGAAAGCTTCTTCACAGCCTTACGGCTATGGACCTAACAACTCACCATCACCCTCCATGCCAGGTGAGGGACTGATGAACTAAGCAGCCCTGAGGGTCTGGCTTTCTTAGGGGTCTTTAGGGAGCTCAGAACTGGCTGCTCCAACACTGGCCTCTGTCCCCACTTGGCACTGTGTATGCATAAACAGAGGCCCCATTTGTTCCCACCTATCAGGGGCAAGCTCCCTGCCAAGCCCAGTGGAACTCCCGTTTTAGGTGCTTGCCTCTGGATGATACCCACTGAACCAAAGCTGTCCTCACTGTGAGACTGTGAATGTGGGGCCCTCCTATGGAGCTCCAGGACCGTGGAAGAATGCCCCTGCTGGCTTGGTAGCCAGGTCACGGCAGAAACTATGAGGATGTGAGAAGCACACCAAGTGGCATAAACTAGTTGTGCTGTTTCTTCCCCCTCCTTCACTCCTTGGTACCCCCCAGTAGTCATCAGCTTCTGAAACTTTACCCTACACACACAGCTGGGGATCTTGTTAAACTGTAGATTCTGATTTAGGAGACCTGCAGTGGAGCCTGAGATGCTGGATTTCTCACAATTCCCAGGTGATGCCAATGCTGCTGGCCCAGAGGTCACTTGGAATAGTAACTCTCCTATACCATCCTGCTCAATCTCTTCAGAGCAGTAATCATAACTTGTCATTGCTTTCTTATGTGGTCGTTACTGATTGCGGCAGATTGTTGCAGTACAGCCCTGATAATCACAGGCTTGAAAAGCACATGTGTGTTGGGCTTGTCCTCTTGGAACCCTGCTGCTGAGTGAAGAGCCCCCGCTAGCCTGCTGGTGGCCTCTGGCTCAGTCAACCGCCAACATCAATGGCCAGACCTAGGAGTGAGACCATTTAGATCATCCAGCTCCAATTGCAGCCACATGAATTAGTCCAGAAGAATCACCCAGCTGAGCCCAGCCCAAATTGCTGACCCATACAATGGTGAGCACATAAAATGGTCATTGTTTAGGTCACTAAGTTTTGGGGGAGTGGTTTGTTACATGGCAATAGATAACTGATACACTGCTTTAATGTCTCTGTTAGGGGTGGGACTAGATTTGTTTTATTTGGTACATTACACCCGGTGTTTTGAATTGATGAAAAAATGAACTAACCTGGACCCGTCTGATTCTAAAATCCAAGAGTTTCTGCTCCACTGCTTCTGCTCCCTGTTCCTAGACAAGTTGCTCATCCTCGGTCTAGTGAGGTCAATGGTAGGATATGTAATCTAGCCTAGGTTAATTAGTGCTTTCCAGTCTACAGTGATTGGTTAAAGGATGAATGTGTGACCTAATCTAATCCAATCAGATTGAAACTCAGGACTTTCACTGAGAATGGTGAGGAAAACACCTTCTCTTCCCCAGTCAATATAAAGAAGAAATATAGGAATAGTTTTCAAAATCTGACTAATCATAACTAATCTGACAAGTCACTATAGGAAGGAAGGACTTACACAGGCCCACTGCTATGCTGGGCTTTTAACTTTTTAGTTGCATTTGGTGGTAGTGGGGGGGGAGGGTCCAGGATACTCCCATACTTGGAAGACAAGAGCATTTAAGCTCTGAATAAAGTCTTATCTGATGCTAAAACTACCACTGAGCTTCTAAATCACACGAGACCAGCCATATATTTATTTCAGCCAATAGGGCTGGACTTTCTGTTGCTTGCAATTATCAAGCAACAGAATGCTTCCTAACTGGCCAACCTTCTATTTTCTGGGAATCTAACTCTCCTTTAAGGTCAACCAGATGATCCAGACACTCTAAAATTAACCCAGGTTTAAGCCAGAACAAGAGAGGAATGAATCCCTGGGAGGACTCACAACATTCCCTACAGAATCAGTTTTACTCTCCTGTGTTTTGCCAAAAGAAATGTTTTGTAAAACTCATCTTTGAATCTATTGGAAAGATGTTCTTGAGGATGTGGCTTCCCACTTTCCACAGGGTCTTTCTGGTCTTTCAGCTGTAGATTCCTAAGCAGTAGACGAATTTTCTACCACATGGACAGTTATGAACTATGCAACTAACTAGTTTTCCCTTTTGGTCTTGGCTGCCAGGAAACCTCACACCAAATATGTACCCACTTGCAGCAAAAATGCACAACTCCATGATGTGTCTTTTTACAGTAGCTTCATTACTGGTTCAATTTTATGTCCTTAACCTTGTTGTACCCTTTTCATTTTTATTTCATTTGACTTATATAATCTTGCTTCATTTTGTGTATCCCTATAAGAAAATAGTAGTTATAATTCAAAAAAAGTAGGCTGGGTGCAGTGGCTCACGCCTGTAATCCCAGCACTTTGGGAGGCCGAGGTGGGCAGATCACCTGAGGTCAGGAGTTCGAGATCAGCCTGGGCAATATGGTGAAACCCCGTCTCTACTAAAAATACAAAATTAGCCGAGCATGGTAACACTTGCCTGTAATCCCAGCTACTCGGGAGGCTGAGGCAGGAGAATCTCTTGAACCTGGGAGGCGGAGGATGCAGTGAGCTGAGATCGCGCCATTGCACTCCAGCCTTTGCAACAAGAATAAATCTCCGTCTCACCGAAAAAAAAAAAAATCACTTCGATTTAGACTTGGTTAAAATGAAAAGAAACTACAGGGAGTACTGTTATGTCAACGACTTTGAATTTCAGTGAAGGAAACAGAAGGGAGGTATGGAAGAACATATACATTCCAAGGATCTCAAAAGCATAAAGAATCGACACCAAGGCCAGGTGCGGTGGCTCAGGCCTGTGATCCCAGCACTTTGGGAGGCCAAGGTGGGCAGATCACTTGAGGTCAGGAGTTCGAGACCAGCCTGGCCAGTATGGTGAAACCCCATCTCTACTAAAAATACAAAAATTAGCTGGGCATGGTGGCAGGCACTTGTGGCCCCAGCTATTCGGTAGGCTGAGGCAGGGGAATTGCTTGAACCCAGGAGGCAGAGGTTACAGTGAGCTGAGATTGCACCACTGTACTCTAGCCTGGGTGACAGAGTGAGACTCTGTCTCAAAAAAAAAAAAAAAAAAAAAAAAAAAAAAAGGATCAAGACAAAGTGGGAAAAAACTTAGTTTTAAATTTCAAGTCTCTGTCTCATTTAAGTTCTTCCAAGATGAAGCAAAAAGTCTCCTGAGCAAATGAATCCAGAGTTCTTCTGGAGGTGGCTATTGAGTGTCGAGTACAGGGTCCTCATACCTGGGAAGCCCTGAAAACAATGTATATTATTCATTTAATATAGAAAATGTTTGTGGAAGGAACTAAAACTTGCTCACTTAGGTTACAAACGAACTATAGGTTCTTCTGTTAGAAAAATCTCAGACCCCTGGGTGCAGTTTTTCTCTTCACTGGCTGTGCAAGTTAAATAATAAAAAAAAGTGATTCCAGCAGATTTGAACTCAAACACAACATAGAGCTTGGGTTCTTTGATCATCTTAGACTCATTTAAGTCCTTTCTGAAACCAGACCTGATGCAAATAAGCAAACAACAACAAAAAATAATTAAATGAGCATCATTCTCAGTTGGCATAGAAAGTGTTGAGAAATGGAGAGGAACGGCCAGTAAAATCTGGAAGGAGAATTAATGCAATGCTCCAGAAGAAAGTGTTTCAAGTGGGAGTTGGACAGGACCTGATAGGAAGGGAAGAGAAGGGAAAGGAAGAGGAAGTTAGGGAAGAAGAGGTTAGAATGTTATAGAAAAGGCCAGGCGCACTGGCTCACGCCTGTAATCCCAGCACTTTGGGAGGCTGAGATGGGCAGATCATGAGGTCAGGAGTTCAAGACCAGCCTGGCCAACATAGTGAAACCCCGTCTATACTAAAAATACAAAAATTAGCTGGGCATGGTGGCACGTGCCTGTAGTCCCAGTTACTTGGGAGGCTGAGGCAGGAGAATCACTTGGACCTGGGAGGCGGAGTTTGCAGTGAGCCGAGAGGGCACCACTGCACTACAGCCTGGGTGACAGAGTGAGACTCCGTATCAAAAAAAAAAAAAAAAAAAAAAGTGGGGGCTGGGCACAGTGGCTCACACCTGTAATCCCAGCACTTTGGGAGGCTGAGGCAGGCGGATCACTAGGTTAGGAGATTGAGACCATCCTGGCTAACATGGTGAAACCCTGTCTCTACTAAAAATACAAAAAATTAGCCGGGCGTGGTGGCGGGCGCCTGTAGTCCCAGCTACTCGGGAGGCTGAGGCAGGAGAATGGCATGAACCCTGGAGGTGGAGCTTGCAGTGACCCAAGATCGCGCCACTGCACTCCATCCTGGGCGACAGAGCGAGATTCTGTCTCAAAAAAAAAAAAGAATGTTATAGTAACGGGAGAGGGAACGAGAACACTCCAGGTGGTAGGTACCAAGAAGTCAAAGTCTGCAGGGAGACGAGCCTTTGGAGCCCCTCCGTCTACAGAGCTTCAAAATACCATCCAGTCATGGACTCTGTCTCCATGTGGGTCCCACTTGAAGCATCCCATGCTTTTGAAGAAAAAAATTTTATAATCCTCCATCCTGCCTGTGACTTAAATTGGCTGAGCCTGTGTGCTCCCACCTTAAGGTGACTCTCCCAACATGTCGCATCCAAAGGAAACACTGCTCTTACCCTGAAGGTCTTGTTTCTGTGTTGTTTTTACATTTCCTGGGCATGAGGTAGAGGCAGCCAAAGAGAGACCAGATCAGCTAATGTTAGCTAAAATCCCCCTTCCCCATTTCTACTCCTAGAGAATGACCTTTCAGGGCAGCTGCAGCTCAGTTGGATCTCATCTTCCATAGACTCTAAAGTGGGGGTTCTCAAAGCATGGTCCCCAGACCAGCAGCATCAGCATCAGCATCACCTGGAAGCTTGCTAGAAATATAAACTCTTAGGCCTGTGGGAGGCAGAATGATGCCCTCACCCACTACCCCCACCAAAGGTGTCCACATTCCAGTCCCTAGAACCTGTGAATATGTTACTTTACATGGCAAAAAGGACTTTGCAGATGTGCTTAGGTTAAGGACCTTGACAGGGAGAGGTCATCCTGAATGATCTAGGTGGGTCTGATATAATCACAAGGGTCCTTACAAGTGAAAGAGAAAGGCAAGAGAGCTGGAGACAGAGGAAATATGATAACGGAAGCAGAAGTTGGAATGATGCAATTATTGGCTGTGAAGATGGAGGAAGGGGCCACAAGACAAGGAGTGCAGGTGGCCTCTAGAAGAGGGGGCAAGCAAGGAAACAGATTCTCCCTGAGCCTCTAGAAGGAACACAGCCAACACCTTGATGGTAGCCCAGTGAGACTCATTTTTAATTTCACACCTCCAGAACTGTAAGAGAACAGATTTCTGTTGGTTAAGCCACAGAGTTTGTGGCGATTTGTTACAACAGTCACAGGAAATTAATACAGGTCCCATTCAGACTGGCTGGGTGGGAAACTCTGCAGGTGGGGTTTGGCATCCTGTATTTACCAAGCTCTTTAGGGGGTTCAGAGGCACACCAAAGTTTGAGAACCACTGCTCTCAAATGGTGGTTCTTGACCTTCATGGCACATCACACTCATCTGGGGTGTTTCCAAAAACACCCGTACCCAGCTCTACTCCCAAAAATTCCGATTTGATTGGCTGCAGTAAGGTTTAGGCATCCCATTTTCAAAAGCTCCATCTACAGTTCTAGTGCTCTGCACTGCCAGAACTGGAAAGCTGGGCTTCCCTTCCCACTTCCTGCTTCCCACTTCCTGCTTCTGCCTCTGCTTCCTCCTTCTGTCCTCTAGATGTTGGGTCCATCTTAGTCTCCTCTTTCCTTCTTGGCTGAACAGTCAGTGAGTTTTCTTCCTGAGATGGCAGGGGATGAGTTTACCCGTATTTCTAACTAAAAAAAATTTATAATATGATATATAATTTTTATTATATATTAATATAATAAACTCAATACTGCCACAAACCCAATATTCT